AGTCAGTTCTAGATTTTCATACTAAGAAACACCCCTGAAAATTTGAAATTGATCCATCACACAGTTAACCAGAAAACATGTAAACAAGACTTTACAGACAAGATTTGATGACAGAATACATAACAAGGCATTAACATGACAAAATGTCACCACCTAAAACAATTTGGTCAATCTAAAGCAAGTTGGAAAATACCTTTTGACCTTAAGAAGAACTTCTGAGAACATGTAGATGATTTTGAAAAAAAAATTAGTCTATTTGAAGCAAGTTGAAAAAAGACCTTTTTGACCTTGAGAAGGTCATTGAAGGTCAAAGGTCAAATCTAAAGTCAGATTTGAACTTCTGAGAACTTGTAAAGTCAAATTTGAACTTCTGAAAAGATATAGATGATTTTGAAAAAAAATTTGGTCAATTTGAAGCAAGTTGAAAACAGACCTTTTTGACCTTTTTTGACCTTGAGAAGGCCATTAAAGGTCAAATGTCAAATCTAAAATCAGATTTGAATTTCTGAGAACATGTAGATGATTTTGAAAAAAAAAATTAGTCAATTTGAAGCAAGTTGAAAAAAGACCTTTTTGACCTTTTTTGACCTTGAGAAGGTCATTGAAGGTCAAATGTCAAATCTAAAGTCAAATTTGAATTTCTGAGAACATGTAGATGATTTTGAAAAAAAATTTAGTCAATTTGAAGCAAGATGGAAAAATACCTTTTTGACCTTTTTTGACATTGAGAAGGTCATTGAAGGTCAAATGTCAAATCTAAAGTCAGATTTGAATTTCGAGAACATGTAGATGATTTTGAAAAAAAAAATTAGTCAATTTGAAGCAAGTTGAAAAAAGACCTTTTTGACCTTTTTTGACTTTGAGAAGGTCATTGAAGGTCAAATGTCAAATCTTAACCTTTACCATGCTGCCTTATTTCAGCAAATATATCCCACGCAACTGGCTTATTTTTCAAAGAGTGCAAAAAATGATATAATAATTAATATCTCAATAACTACTGAATGAATCTGGATAAAATTTTCACAAAGGGAAGATACAGTGGCCTGGCTCATGAAAAAAATGTTCTCATGAATTTTTTCGTACATTAACACGACTGGGCATAAATATACCATGAATACTCCTCCGGAATCCGCCGCTCCGCCTCTTCGTCTGGTCAGAATCCAAATCTGAATTTGCAGCGATCGAATGTTCATTTTTTCAATTCAGAAAATATTCTAGTTTCTATTTTCGATGACCGTTATCGGCTTCCAAGAGCCTAAAGAGCTCGAAATCGTAATTCATTTCCTCCACATTTTCGTTGTGATCGTATTTGTCCACCATTTTGTACGATTCGTTCACTAAAAACGACTAAAACACTGTTTAAATTGTTGAATTGAGAATTATTTTTCGAAATATCGCCATACTAGGTCAACAGGAAGTCATGTTAGGCACTGAATAAATCGGGCAATCTAATTGGACAATACGAATGGCGCGAAAAAGTAAAGTTTTTAAAAGTTTGAAATCGGGCGTACGGGTCCGCCGGCAGTTGTGAGAGACATTTTAGTCTCGGCGGACGAGTCCGCCGGCAGCACGCTAAAGGTTAAGTCAAATCTAAAGTCAGATTTGAATTTCTGAGAACACGTAGATGATTTTGAAGGTCAAATGTCAAATCCAAAGTCAAATCTAAAGTCAGATTTGAATTTCTGAAAACAGACCTTTTTGACCTTTTTTGACCTTGAGAAGGTCATTAAAGGTCAAATGTCAAATCTAAAGTCAGATTTGAATTTCTGAGAACATGTAGATGATTTTGAAAAAAAATTTAGTCAATTTGAAGCAAGTTGAAAAAAGACCTTTTTGACCTTTTTTTACCTTGAAAAGGTCATTGAACGTCAAATGTCAAATCTAAAGTCAAATCTAAAGTCATATTTGAATTTCTGAGAACATGTAGATGATTTTGAAAAAAAATTAGTCAATTTGAAGCAAGATGAAAAAATACCTTTTTGACCTTTTTTGACATTGAGAAGGTCATTGAAGGTCAAATGTCAAATCTAAAGTCAGATTTGAATTTCTGAGAACATGTAGATGATTTTGAAAAAAAAAATTAGTCAATTTGAAGCAAGTTGAAAAAAGACCTTTTTGACCTTTTTTGACTTTGAGAAGGTCATTGAAGGTCAAATGTCAAATCTTAAGTCAAATCTAAAGTCAGATTTTAATTTCTGAGAACACGTAGATGATTTTGGAAATTTTTTTTAGTCAATTTGAAGCAAGTTGAAAACAGACCTTTTTGACCTTTTTTGACCTTGAGAAGGTCATTGAAGGTCAAATGTCAAATCTAAAGTCAAATCTTAAGTCAGATTTGAATTTCTGAGAACACGTAGATGATTTTGAAAAAAAATTTAGTCAATTTGAAGCAAGTTGAAAACAGACCTTTTTGACCTTTTTTGACCTTGAGAAGGTCATTGAAGGTCAAATGTCAAATCTAAAGTCAGATTTGAAGGTCAAATGTCAAATCTAAAGTCAAATCTAAAGTCAGATTTGAATTTCTGAGAACATGTAGATGATTTTGAAAAAAAAATTAGTCAATGTGAAGCAAGTTGAAAAAAGACCTTTTTGACCTTCAGAAGGTCATTGAAGGTCAAATGTAAAATCTAAAGTCAGATTTGAACTTCTGAGAACATGTAGATGATTTAGAAAAAAATTGAAGTAAGTCTAAACAGTATTTGTTAAGTTATAGGAAGTTGTAAGAAATTGTTACAGACGCCGGACGCCAGACGCCGGACGCCGGACGCCAACCGCCGTCGCAAAAAAACGGAGACCATAACAATATGTCACCACTTTTGGTGGTGACATAAAAACTAATCAGATCTAGATTTTCATACTAAGAATCATCCCTGAAAATTTGAAATTGATCTACCAAACAGTTCACCTGGAAATGCGTAGACAAGACTTTACAGACGAGATTTTAGAACAGAAAATACAAAATGGCTGCCTTGACATTTACCCAGAATGCCCAAACACTAATCAGATCTAGAATTTCATACTGAGAATCATCCCTGAAAATTTGAAATTGATCTACCAAACGGTTCACCTGAAAATGGGTAGACAAGACTTTACAGACAAGATTTTAGGACGGAAAATCCAAAATGGCTGCCTTGACATTTACCCAGAATGCCAAAAAACTAATCAGATCTAGATTTTCATACTGAGAATCATCCCTGAAAATTTCAAATTGATGTACCAAACGGTTCACCTCGAAATGCATAGACAAGACTTTACAGACAAGATTTTAGGACGGAAAATCCAAAATGGCTGCCTTGACATTTTTCCAGAATGCATAAAAACTAATCACATCTAGATTTTCATACTAAGAATCATCCCTGAAAATTTGAAATTGATCTACCAAACAGTTCACCTAAAAACTCATAGACAAGACTTAACGGGCAAGATTTTAAGACGGAAAATCCAAAATGGCTGCCTTGACATGTATCCAGAATGCCAAAAAACTTATCAGATCTAGATTTTCATACTGAGAATCATCTCTGAAAATTTCAAATTGATAAACCAAACGGTTCACCTGGAAATACGTAGACAAGACTTTACAGACAAGATTTTAGGACGGAAAATCCAAAATGGCTGCCTTGACATTTACCCAGAATGCCCAAAAACTAATCAGATCTAGATTTTCATACTAAGAATCATCCCTGAAAATTTGAAATTGATCTACCAAACAGTTCACCTAAAAACTCATAGACAAGACTTAACGGGCAAGATTTTAAGACGGAAAATCCAAAATGGCTGCCTTGACATTTACCCAGAATGCCCAAAAACTAATCAGATCTAGATTTTCATACTGAGAATCATCCCTGAAAATTTGAAATTGATCTACCAAATGGTTCACCTGAAAATGCGTAGACAAGACTTTACAGACAAGATTTTAGGACGGAAAATCCAAAATGGCTGCCTTGACATTTACCCAGAATGCCCAAAAACTAATCAGATCTAGATTTTCATACTAACAATCATCCCTGAAAATTTGAAATTGATCTACCAAACTGTTCACCTAAAAACGCATAGACAAGACTTTACGGACAAGATTTTAAGATGGAAAATCCAAAATGGCTGCCTTAACATTTTTCCAGAATGCATAAAAACTAATCACATCTAGATTTTCATACTGAGAATCATCCCTGAAAATTTGAAATTGATCTACCAAACGGTTCACCTGAAATCGCGTAGACAAGACTTTACAGACAAGATTTCAGGACGGAAAAATCCAAAATGGCCGACAATAAAAAAGTGATTATGAGTTTTTGCTGATTTCTTTTTACAAAATTATCACATATAACTACTGTTAACAATAACATAGGCTTTTACAACAAAGTACACCTGAAATTATTTATAAAGCTACTAAATAGTTAAAGTATGAAAACTGTAATACAAAGTATTATCGTGCGCTAACTTTTCTTAAAACATTCAAAATGGCTGACATGACTGAGCTAACAGGTCCAAAACCTAATCAGATCTAGAATGAAGTGAGCTGAACAAGATGTTAAAGTTTTAAAAGCAACTGTGAAGCTGTTTTTCTAAAAGTTTGCAGACAAGGATTTTAGCATTTGACTTCAAAATGGCCGACAGGAAGTAGGTATCGAGATAATTTTTTTTCATCCACATCTGTATGCACTCATAAATTATCCCTGAAAATTTGAAGGTGATATCTGTAGCGGTTTTGGAGAAAACTGCCGGACGTACGGACGGACAGACAGACAGACGGACGCGCCTAGGCCGACAATATGGCCCCACACTATGTGGTGGGGACATAAAAATGAAAGGATATATATGGAAAAACTTGTTTATGTATTTAGAAATGGAATGAAATCTGAATTTTACACAATGTCAGATTCAATTATATATATGGTCAATTTTGCTCTTCTATAGTCTTGCATTAGACCCTTGTGCAAGAAGTTACCATACATTTATCAACATAATCAAACACGTATCGAATTAACCAACCATAAGCCTACCTCATTGGTTCTATAGCCATCCAGACAGACAGCGCACGCTTCATCATTTGAACTAAGACTAGATAGATCGGGGGCACGACTCAGGCGAGATTTCTCTGGATACAGATCTTTATAAATGCGAGTTTCTAGATTCCCAATAGCGACCTTGGCAATCTCTGACAGTGACATCTGTCTTTGGGATCTTTTGCATTTGAACTGAAATTAAATCAAGTTAAATCTAAGAATGCATGTTTTTATAAGATTCAAAAATTATATTTTCAACTTACTTTATTTTTGGAGTTTCCATCTTAAAAACAAATGTTTATAACCCTGTACATATATACTTCTTGTGATTTGTCTTTGACCTATGACTGCTGACCTATACCGGCGATTACTAGAGTGCTGCTAACTCGATAAAAGGCTGGCGCTGGCTAGAATTGTCTATGGTTCTAGCCAGGATAAAGATACCAGTTCTTCAACTCGACAATGGGAAGAACTGCTCTACCTTAGTGACTAATATGTCATGATATGACATCTAAAGAGTCAATAAAAGATATTGATTCTAAAATAGAAGTTTTCTTATTTAGGGAAATATCCTACCATAAGATAAGATTGAAATATGCATATTAACTCTTTAACATGAAGCTTATTATATCTTTTAGCTCATCTCCTATGTTAAAACTAAAACCAAAAGTAAACATGTCAGTTTTTTCGATCCCATACAATTTCCACAATTCACATACCTTTTGGCAAATGGTTATTAAGGTTATTATGGGATACTTCATGATTCTCACCTTAATAATGACTATCACTATGACGATGCAGAATGCAACAAACACACCAATAAAGATGCCCATCTCTGAAAACACATTGTTGTCCTGGAAGTACAAAATGAGCACAGTGATGTCATGGAAGTACAAAATGAGCACAGTGATGTCATGGAAGTACAAAATGAGCACAGTGATGTCATGGATGTACAAAATGAGCAAAAAGTTATCATGGAAATAAAACTAAAATGTACATATACTTTCACTAAATCACAAGTTTGTCTTTAATCTGAAATATGATAATAATAAAAGCGTAGTAGAGATGCAAAAACTTACAATATGCTTTCACTCCACATTATTTTAACATTCAGAGTATTGGGCTATTAGCACAAATGTTGTCTTTTGCTGATAATTAGAAACTGACCACATATGCAGTAAATGCAAAAAAGGAACTCGATCATTAATATGAAATGAAATGACCCCCAGTCCTATCGCATAATCCTGAATTGCTGAATTTTCAAATAAACAAAAGCTGCCTTCACTCCCACAAGAACACAAGCAAACACTGAAACAAGGTATGTTTATCTTATAGAAAGGTCAGAATATCATATCTTGAACCCATCTACTAAAACAAAAAGTTATCTTTAACCATCATGTATTATGTGATCCAAAAGTAAACATGAATTGACGTCATCTCATTCACAAAAAAGGTTTTTATCATCATATTGAATGAATGCGACAAAGTTTGAACAATATCGCATCCTTGGTTTGTACGCCAAAAAAGCAGACATCACAGACAAGATTTTAGGAGAAAAACTCTGAATTGGCAACCTTAAAATTTCCATCATGCCCAAAATCGAACCAGTTTTAAATTTTTGTGTCAAGTAAGATTAAATTCAATCGTTGATCTACCGGGTCAAGGATTCTGGCTGACATGGTCACCTGGCAAACTGATCACAATATAGCACCCTATGGCCCGATAGAATAGCAGTATAGGTTGTGCTTTTTAAAATGGTTGTAAATTTACAATTAAATCAAATAAATTAAAGGCTACACTTTCTATAGAATGTATGTTTTTCTGTAGCAGAATTCAGAGACTTTAAACCTTGTTTGTTGTCAATAGAATGAAATCATGTCTTATCTACATCATCACCATGGCAACCAAGATGGACGATAGGATATTTATTTTGGTTGTTAGAATTTCTAAACAACTGAGTATGCTAATGTTTGTTAGCTCCATGGTTACAAGAGCCATCCAATCTCCAATATATACACTGATGAAGGTTGCTACAGGGGGCTACAATTAGGCATCTAGGACTCCATTGTCACAATGCAGAATTTTTATGTCTTGTTTTTCCAAAAACTTATTGAATGTCCTGGTGTTAATGTTTTTTTGGGGAGGGGATCACTATGTAGATTGCATTACATTACATTTGTAAAAATTGTAAATAAATTATTTTTAACATAAATAAGGAAGCATTTTGTGCATATCTATCATCATTGTTGTTGTTTAGAAATGTTTCATTTTAGTTCTCAGTGCCATGTCCCTACATGGTCTTTTCAGTAACATTAGAAAACTCATTTCACTTCTCTCCTACAATGTCCTTCATTACTGTATAATCAATTGTCAACTTGATTGAAGTAAACTTTGGGTGAAGGGGCTAAAATTTCATTTTGCTTCATTAGGATGCATTGCTTTTTAAAAGGGAGCAGCTCGTAACTTGATGAAAATCAATAAATGTTTAATTTCACTTTCGGAGAAAAGGTGTCAATATGAATTATCATCTTTTGGGCCAACACAACTTTGACATGGTCCCTTAGTCCCTCCCCAATCTCCCTCATCAAAGGCCAAATAAAAATAACCTATAACCAACATATTTCTTGCTGATTCCACTTCTTATTTCCCTTCTCTGTCCTAGACTCTACAGCTGTGATATTCAGAAAAGCAATTTTGTATTTTGCCTAACAAAACATATGCAAATTGTGACATTTCTACTTCAACAGAATCAGATTATACATATGTATGCTGTACATTTATTAACATTCAAGGCATGACAAATCTCACACTTGAAGTTCATGAAAAACATGGCTTGAGAAAGCTCATGAACAGTTTAACAGAGAATGGAGCATAATAGGGGGTTCCAAACTGTTCAAATTGAGAGACGGAGAATGCTGGGGGATGGGAAATCCTGGGTTGGGAAATTCTGAAGAAGTTTAATCCTGGGGAGGGGAAGTTCTGGGAGAGGAAAGACTTGGAAAGGGAAAATTCTAAAGGGGGATTCTTTGGGGATTTTGGGGAGGGACAATTCTGCTTCTCACTTTATACATGTATATGGTTTTTAGGATTTTAAGGGTTTTGGTTAGAATTTGGCTGCTCTTTCAAGATGTAATGGCTGTTTAGTCTGACTTTAAGTATCTTTAATCTAATCTGGAATATATATGACTCTTATATGTAACAACAATCACTTTGGACAAATCCTCAAATTCAATTCTTTATTATTTGAGATCGAAAAGTTCAAATGACAAACTTTTTGGAATTCATTGATTTGCCCTTATCAAAAACACAAAGGTATAACTATACCTGGAACAATTTTTGTTACTGGTCAATGGAGGAGTTTTCAACCTACTAAGATCCCTAAACACCCCCTAAAAATTCAAGAAAATCTGAATTTCAACATTCTGAATCTTAACACATCCTACTATTTCACTAGAATAACAAATGAGACATCTAGGTTTGGTTTATCATGAATAAAAAAGGAATGATAAAAATTGATGACCCTTTCTATACAATGCTCCGTCAGTCACATAAAACTGTCTACGAAGAATGGCTGTAAGGTGAAGCTAACTGTTCTTGCATATAAATAGTCCCTATTACAATAGTTACATTTATACAACATCGTAAATCAGCTTTGATTTTTGAAATTTACGATTATTTTATCATGCGTTCAAAGAGCCCCAACTCCGATCAAAGACGTATAAATCTTAATTGGGCTTTGAAATAAAGTACCATTGAATGAGATCCCTGCTCGTTAGTTTGTATATCACTGATTGGCTCATACTAAACTCGATGCCGGCCCATAAACCAAAGTCAAACCATTATAAAGTAGTGATAAAATGTACATAAATTTGTTGCCTATCTTAAATATCCAGATAATAGAATGGGTAGATGAGATGTTTACAGCCTTATTCAACATAACGATCATTTTTAATTTCAACCAGAATCAACGATAGAATTCTATATTTAAAGACTGAACCAAAGCCTCCCATGATTCAACAGCAGATCTGTAATATTTCAATTTTAAATTGCTCTACGCAAAAAAACTAAAATCTGTGTCTGAATATAATAGATGGAGCATTTACTTTTTAAGTAATAATTTTGACTTGTAAACATCAACTGTTTAAGGTATATGGTTTCAATTGAGATGAATAGCACGTTCATAAACTGATATTTATACGCATATTCTTATTTCCGGAGTCCTATACAATAATACAGGGCCAAGTGAGGTGACTTATACATTCAAGTGTTTCAAAGTAAATTAACTAGAAATAAGAATATATGAAGTAGATCGCATTCCATATTTAACATTTTTCAAGTTTATTGAATCGGAGGTGGTCCCCATTGATGTATAACTACAGGAGACCAACTTAATGATTTTTCCATAAAATTTAAATTTTAAGTACTTTTTCTAAATCTACATGGTTGACCTTTCAACCCTTTTGTTCCCAATATTAAGGTAGGCAGCGGTTAGTCATCAAATATCTATAGATTACTCACTCTACATGGCTTTCCTTAACTCCACCTCTCGTATTGTTGCATACGCATCAATAGAAATGTCAGAAACTTGTAAATACTTGACATTAGGAACTGACTTTACATGATATACACCCACATATTGGAGGGGGGGGGGGGGGTAGAAGTTGACTATATTTTTTGTTAACCAAGAGTCAAGAGAGAGATCTTTTTAGGGTAGGGGGTCAATCTGAAACGTAATCTATTGCATTTTGGGACTTCATCACAATAATGACATGAGATATTTAGAAAATAGCTTTTGTGACCTAGATGGATGACCTTGATGTTTGACCTTCAATTTTTTTCACTTTAACCATTTAGGTTCCTTTCAATTGTTTTGACTGATGTCACACTCAAAATAAAATTTTTGAAAATTTGACACTTCTTTTTTTCATTTCTACTTTTTTGCTATTTTCTCTTGACAAAATAATATAAGACGCCAATCTACAACACCATACATGAAGATGTGTCTCAAATTCCCTCTGTGTTTGTCTCTGCCTTGAGGAATTCTCGTTAATTGAGACAAGGAACATGATCCGTGATGAGCTGTGAGTTACATGGTTAGTTCAATTGTTTCTAACTTGTTTTTCTTGTAACAATATATCAATTACATAAAGCACAAATTCAGAAGTAAATATTTATTTTAGCAAGCTATAAATCAAGATCTTGTTAGAAACACAAATCAGAGAATGAGAGAAATTGTAGTTATTACAGGATTTGTTTGTTTTAGTGCCCTTTGGAGTAAAACATTACATGTACCATATGCCTATTTTCTAAAAATCTAAAGAATCTCCTAAGTGGGAAATAAAAGGTTCCACAACTTATCAAATACATAGGTACACATCTTCTGTAGTCTCACTCACCTCAACAGGTCGTTTATCATGTGCGACAACTTCATGATGCACAATACGTGCTCGCGCTTGTTTCCGACTGCTCAAGATTCGAAGGAGCTCCCAAGCCTGAGAATCTCTAATTATCACAATGGGTCGATCCAACTTTGCTGCTTTGAGCTTTGTTCGACTCAGCTGAAAACAAAATGTAAATATTATAACTTACTGTAAACTGACAATGGGGAAGAGCTAAAAAATTATTTTTGAAGTCTGTCTATTGTTATGATAATTTGCGCCTATTTTTTCCAAGAAATGATCCCCATTTTTCGAAAAGGACAATTTTTCACAAAAATGAGGCCCAAAAAGCCTATTTTTAGGTCCAACTAAAATAATCATCTGCCAGCAAAAAACATATGTAACAAACCAGTCATCATGTGCATATTTACATCAAAGTGCATTATAGGTTGTCATGGTAACAAATCACTTATTTGTAAACATAACAAAGGGGATCTAACACATGTGTCATCATGTTAAACAGTGTCATCATGTTAACAGTGTCAACTTATCTCAAAAGGAAATAACACATATGGTTATTGGAATTTTCAAATGAATAATCAAACAAAACAGGGTGGTAGGTATAAAAGTATATTGTGTTGCTATGGAAACATGGTTCCTAAGGATTTATCAGATTATTGCTACAGTTACCTGTTTAAGTGCCTTTGGATTGTCTGTCACGTCAAATACTACTGCGGTTGCCCCTCTGGCTATTGCACGCTTTGCCTGGAAATATACAAAATTACAGAAATCAAATAATATGTCATATAAACCAATAAACCACATGAAAGTTGATAACATTATTAGTTAATAAAAACACAGAATGAATTCCTGTGCTAAGGGTTGATATGAAAAAGTCAATCTACCTTAGCAAGGATCGAAGCCATGATGCCAGGAAAAACACAAATAACACTCAAATAAGATATCTCATAAAGAGAAATATTACATAGAAGTTCATGAATAGTACAATATAGAAATATAATTCATAGTCTAGTTACAAGCCTCTGTGACCCCCTCCCCCTACTTGACTACATACCTTCCACACACTTGTTTTAGTGGACACTGGGGGGTCAAAAGGGGTTGTAGCTACACTATATATTTATCAACATGATTAAATATCACCACCAGATTACAAATACAAGGTTACAAATACAAAGTGTAACAATACAAGGTTACAAATACAAGGTGTAACAATTTGTTGCAGATACAGAAGGCAGCGAACGCCACAGGATTTTTTCTCAAGTAGGTGCAAAATTTTCATTTTCACAATTCAGACCAAAATTTTCAAAATATGCCTATTTTCATGATTTTTCTCATTTTCTGGTGGGTGCAAATGGATTTTCAGATGGGTGCAAGCCTTTTTTCAAAATCTCAGGTAGGTGCTGCGCCCACTTGCTTTAATGCTGGAAAGATCACTGGAAGGTCAAAAATGGGCGCTAGAACAACATTTCACGATTTCTTGGCGGTGACATTCAAAAAATATGACTCAAAGTTTAAAAGTATTATTGAATATAAAAGGATCACCTTGAATCAAACAGAAATGTTCACTCCCGCTACCCGCTGATTTACGACAGTACCATTTACAAATCTCATGTAATATATGATTAAGTACTTCATGGTACCATAAGTAGATTTAGAAAAATGATCAAACATGATTTTATCTCAGTTCATACATCTACATGATACCAGATTTTCACAGATTTCGTTATGGTTTAAAGGCTCACGTTCACCATACAGGAGAGTATCTTAAAGGACATTCTCATGTATAATATATCTTATATACGGTAATTGTTTTCTTTGATGCTGTTGTGTTTATTTAAGTATAATTAACAAGTTATTTCAATCAATAATAAAACGATGGGATTTGTTGTTTTTTCAGCTTCAAAGCTGTTTAGAATATGCATAAGTCAGAAATAAGTTTGGGACTGTACTATAAATGATCCCTTCATGAGACCTAACCAACTAGAGGTAACATCAAACGCTTTCAAGTATCCAAATATCTTACGTTAAAACATCAACAAATATTAGACCAGGATTAACAGATAGCTGAAAGGGTCCTTTGGTCTTTCAACATCACTTTGTAAAATCTCACCCAAGTTTGTGAATGGCTTTATTAGAACTATTTGATCCCACACCAGGTGTGGAAAGCAAGATATGAGGACACCCTGAAACCTAGAGTCAAACAGTAAAAATAACTAGACTCTGCAGAGGTTCTTTGCCCCATGTTAGCTACCAGCCTGTTGTGACCCCCCCCCCCACTACAAGTGTATGAGAAGGTGTGGAGTCATGTAGAGGGGGGGGGTCACAGAAGCTTGTAGCTAGACTATTTTATCAGTTTATCATGATCCCTTTATCATAAGAACCCCCTTTAGCAGACAATACCCAAATTCTACTCCAACCCCCTCTCCAATCAATAGCACCCCCTCTTTAACCCTTTATCACAAAAACAGCTGAGCATTTTGTTTTTTATTTCTATATTTGTTGGCACTTAATGCCTGCTATAGCAAACACTCAAGTGCTACAGTTAAGAGTATTTGAAATGCCACATAGCTTGACCCCTGCATAACTTGACCCCTAGGTATCTTGACGCCTGAACCCTCGATTACTTGACCCGTGATTTTATAGTCGTACTTCATACAGAGGCCATTACCCTCTCCAGATTGATCCCTCGGTTAATTATCTTGCTTTTTACCCAGGTAAACCTCTCTACCACACTTCAAGAAAATAATGAACACTTAGAATTGTTTTATGTTTCGTCTGATAAGTTTCAAAATGGAATATACTCAGTGACATGGTTTGACGATTGGTAAGTATAAATAATATTGTCGCAATTTGAATTATTATTTGACAATAAATTGTTGAGTTTGCATGCAGAAGCAACACTGACATTCTTTATATGAATTGTTTTGTGTATGTTATATGTAGAAGGTGTTATCAAAGGGAGTAAGTTTCCCCCTCAAATGTATTTACCTATTATATAAATGTACATTAGATGGGGAGGGAGTGTTGGGGGTGTCTTGGGTGGTATACCTTACACAGCCAATATAATTCGACACCGTTTCGGCATCGAACAAATTCGACACCGTTCCGGCACCGAAACCTTTCGACACCAAAATTTGCTACCCGACTAGTCAGTCCATATGAAATTAAAATGGTGTTGAAAATCAGATTGCATTTGGGGGGTGTAATAAGTTATCACATCAACTTAACGTACATATATATCCCATCCTTGCTTTGTATTTTTATAACCAAATGGACTTGTGCTTAGATATTTTCCAGAAGAGGCACCATATCTTCATTTCAAACCATGTAGATTCTCTTCACATATTTTATATTCTGAATTGTATACTAAAGTAAAATAAAAAGAAAGTTATGGAGGATATCACTGATGAACCCAACCATGCATTTTACTGAAGAACCCAACCATGCATTTTACTGAAGAACCCAACCATGCATTTTACTGAAGAACTTAACCATGCATTTTACTGAAGAACCCAACCATGCATTTTACTGAAGAACCCAACCATGCATTTTACTGAAGAACCCAACCATGCATTTTACTGAAGAACTTAACCATGCATTTTACTAAAGAACCCAACCATGCATTTTACTTGATCGGGTTTCACTGCTATTACAGCGATGTTGTAAATTGAAATACCCTTGAACCAAGGACGATTAAATACATATTCTTAGAATTACCAATTCCTACATTTTGCATTTTTCCAGCCTTAAATTTTCTGGCCCTAATTTTCTAAATGCTCTAACACAAATAAAATGGTCCTGCCTTACTCCATAGCAGTCTGGTGAGTGATAACCTGCTCAGCCACATTTCAAAGAACTTGGTGTAAAGAAACGGGAGATCAAAGCCAACAGTAATGAACATTGCTGAAAGTTGGTTTAGCTCTGAGATTAACAATTTCACAGTTGCAAAAGGGAAAGAATCAAGGTTTCTTTAAAGATAAAAAACATTTTGTTATAAATGTGACTATGCATATAATGTAGGTATCATACATTCAATGGTTTCTCCCATTTGTTTTGTCTTTTTCTATTGTCCAGTAAGGTGTGTTCAGTAGACTTAATACTCCGGTGACACACTTAACATGTAGATACAGACATCATATACACTTTTAACATGTAGATACAGACATCATAAACACTTTTCACATGTAGATACAGACATCATAAACACTTTTCACATGTAGATACAGACATCATAAACACTTTTAACATGTAGATATAGACATCATAAACAGTTTTAACATGTAGATACAGACATCATAAACACTTTTAACATGTAGATACAGACATCATAAACAGTTTTAACATGTAGATACAGATATCATAAATACTTATAACATGTATGCAGATATCATAAACAGTTTTAACATGTAGATACAGACATCATAAACACTTTTAACATGTAGATACAGACATCATAAACACTTTTCACATGTAGATACAGACATCATAAACACTTTTCACATGTAGATACAGACATCATAAACACTTTTCACATGTAGATACAGACATCATAAACACTTTTAACATGTAGATATAGACATCATAAACAGTTTTAACATGTATATACAGACATCATAAACACTTTTAACATGTAGATACAGACATCATAAACAGTTTTAACATGTAGATACAGATATCATAAATACTTATAACATGTATGCAGATATCATAAACAGTTTTAACATGTAGATACAGACATCATAAACACTTTTAACATGTAGATACAGACATCATAAACAGTTTTAACATGTAGATACAGATATCATAAATACTTATAACATGTATGCAGATATCATAAACAGTTTTAACATGTAGATACAGACATCATAAACACTTTAGGTCCAAACTGTGTCAAACCACTTGATCTGCCTACGAGTAAATCACTTTACAAGCACAGTACTATAGATGCATCACATTCTAGAATGTACCGAAAACTCATGGCAAGCACTCATAAAGGGGCATCCTTTTCTCGAAGTACAAGCTATCATAATTAGTTTTTAAAATGCAAAATAAAGTTTGAAACACTGCAAACAGCAAAAATAAAAACAGATCAGCATGCAGTCAAAATACCAAATAATGATATGGTATTCACGAAAACCAGAAAGTTGATTCAATTTTAGAAAGGTTTTCCATGAAATAAACATGAAAAGACATTCTAGCAGGGATTTCATCAAATATATCTTGTTACTAAAGAACCTTACCATATAAAATTTTGCACAAACATACAAATCTACCTCCTAAGAAAAAAATAAACACTGATACCAAACTTAGAATACAACAATCAAAACTGACGAAAAACACTTAAAATTTCTGTAAACAAAATTGCAGGATTCCTTTCTCGAGTGTTCATATTTGCGAGGGATGTAAAGGTATAAGGAGAATAAATATATATTTTATTTTCAAGTTAGATTTGGTGTACACTTGCCTATGTAATTAAGCCATAGATCACTGTCTGGTGAAACAGAAAGGTAAACAGAGTTTATTTCATTGATCTTACTCTCGCAAAAACATCAATGGACCGACTTGAAAAAACATCTATGTTTTACCTGGGCAGAAAATGATGCGGTCGTTTCAGGTCTAAAATGCAAAATGATCAAATAAATGAGAGTTGAAGTAAAATTAAAAGATTTCTAGATTATCTACCGTGTAAATCAATAGAAATGATAGAAACTCATATATTTTAATATGATTTTATTCGAAAAAAA